ACCGTGCGAGTGGCTGGAGATGCGGCTGAGTGAGTAGCGAGTGAGTTGGGAGTGGGTGAGCGAGTGAGTGTGTGAGCGAGTGAGCGTGCGAGTGGCTGGAGATGCGGCTGAGTGAGTAGCGAGTGAGTTGGGAGTGGGTGAGCGAGTGAGTGAGCAATCGCACTGTGTGTGCCGGTGCTCACACCGCTGATCCCCCTAACAATCCGCGCAACTCCCCCGAGAGATGCCACATTGTGCCATCCGCACCCCGCCTCCCACGGCCCAATTAGCGGCGCTGCAGCAGAGACGGCTCTCTATTCAAACCCTGGCCACGCGGCCGTCCGCCCACCCATGTGTCCGTCCGTCCATGTGTCCGCCCACCCGTGTGTCCGTCCATGTGTCCACCCACCCGTGTGTCCGTCCGTCCATGTGTCCGCCCACCCGTGTGTCCGTCCATCCATGTGTCCGCCCACCCGTGTGTCCGTCCATCCATGTGTCCGCCCACCCGTGTGTCCGTCCGTCCATGTGTCTGCCCACCCGTGTGTCCGTCCATCCATGTGTCCGCCCACCCGTGTATCCGTCCGTCCATGTGTCCGCCCACCCGTGTGTCCGTCCGTCCATGTGTCCGCCCACCCGTGTGTCCGTCCGTCCATGTGTCCGCCCACCCGTGTGTCCGTCCGTCCATGTGTCCGCCCACCCGTGTGTCCGTCCGTCCATGTGTCCGCCCACCCGTTGTCCGTCCGTCCATGTGTCCGCCCCCAGTGTATCTGTCCGTCCATGTGTCCGCCCACCCGTGTGTCCGTCCGTCCATGTATCCGCCCACCCGTGTATCTGTCCGTCCATGTGTCCGCCCACCAGTGTATCTGTCCGTCCATGTGTCCGCCCACCCGTGTGTCCGTCCGTCCATGTGTCCGCCCACCCGTGTGTCCGTCCGTCCATGTGTCTGCCCACCCGTGTGTCCGTTCGTCCATGTGTCCGCCCACCCGTGTATCTGTCCGTCCATGTGTCCGCCCACCCGTGTATCTGTCCGTCCATGTGTCCGCCCAGCCGTGTATCTGTCCGTCCATGTGTCCGCCCACCCGTGTATCTGTCCGTCCATGTGTCCGCCCACCCGTGTATCTGTCCGTCCATGTGTCCGCCCACCCGTGTATCTGTCCGTCCATGTGTCCGCCCACCCGTGTATCTGTCCGTCCATGTGTCCGCCCACCCGTGTATCTGTCCGTCCATGTGTCCGCCCACTCGTGTATCTGTCCGTCCATGTGTCCGCCCACCCGTGTATCTGTCCGTCCATGTGTCCGCCCACCCGTGTATCTGTCCGTCCATGTGTCCGCCCACCCGTGTATCTGTCCGTCCATGTGTCCGCCCACTCGTGTATCTGTCCGTCCATGTGTCCGCCCACCCGTGTATCTGTCCGTCCATGTATCCGCCCACCCGTGTATCTGTCCGTCCATGTGTCCGCCCACCCGTGTATCTGTCCGTCCATGTGTCCCGCCCACACCGTGTATCTGTCCGTCCATGTGTCCGCTCACTCGTGTATCTGTCCGTCCATGTGTCCGCCCACCCGTGTATCTGTCCGTCCATGTGTCCGCCCACCCGTGTATCTGTCCGTCCATGTGTCCGCCCACTCGTGTATCTGTCCGTCCATGTGTCCGCCCACCCGTGTATCTGTCCGTCCATGTGTCCGCCCACCCGTGTATCTGTCCGTCCATGTGTCCGCCCACCCGTGTATCTGTCCGTCCATGTGTCCGCCCACCCGTGTATCTGTCCGTCCATGTGTCCGCCCACCCGTGTATCTGTCCGTCCATGTGTCCGCCCACCCGTGTATCCGTCCGTCCATGTGTCCGCCCACCCGTGTGTCCGTCCGTCCATGTGTCCGCCCACCCGTGTATCTGTCCGTCCATGTGTCCGCCCACCCGTGTGTCCGTCCGTCCATGTGTCCGCCCACCCGTGTATCTGTCCGTCCATGTGTCCGCCCACCCGTGTATCCGTCCGTCCATGTGTCCGCCCACCCGTGTGTCCGTCCGTCCATGTGTCCGCCCACCCGTGTATCTGTCCGTCCATGTGTCCGCCCACCCGTGTATCTGTCCGTCCATGTGTCCGCCCACCCGTGTATCTGTCCGTCCATGTGTCCGCCCACCCGTGTATCTGTCTGTCCATGTGTCCGCCCACCCGTGTATCCGTCCGTCCATGTGTCCGCCCACCCGTGTGTCCGTCCGTCCATGTGTCCGCCCACCCGTGTATCTGTCCGTCCATGTGTCCGCCCACCCGTGTGTCCGTCCGTCCATGTGTCCGCCCACCCGTGTATCCGTCCGTCCATGTGTCCGCCCACCCATGTGTCCGTTCGTCCATGTGTCCGCCCACCCGTGTGTCCGTCCGTCCATGTGTCCGCCCACCCGTGTATCCGTCCGTCCATGTGTCCGCCCACCCGTGTATCCGTCCGTCCATGTGTCCGCCCACCCATGTGTCCGTTCGTCCATGTGTCCGCCCACCCGTGTGTCCGTCCGTCCATGTGTCCGCCCACCCGTGTATCCGTCCGTCCATGTGTCCGCCCACCCGTGTATCCGTCCGTCCATGTGTCCGCCCACCCATGTGTCCGTTCGTCCATGTGTCCGCCCACCCGTGTATCCGTCCGTCCATGTGTCCGCCCACCCGTGTATCTGTCCGTCCATGTGTCCGCCCACCCGTGTATCTGTCCGTCCATGTGTCCGCCCACCCGTGTGTCCGTCCGTCCATGTGTCTGCCCACCCGTGTATCTGTCTGTCCATGTGTCCGCCCACCCGTGTATCCGTCCGTCCATGTGTCCGCCCACCCGTGTATCCGTCCGTCCATGTGTCCGCCAACCCGTGTATCCGTCCGTCCATGTGTCCGCCCACCCGTGTATCCGTCCGTCCATGTGTCCGCCCACCCGTGTGTCCGTCCGTCCATGTGTCCGCCCACCCGTGTGTCCGTTCGTCCATGTGTCCGCCCACCCGTGTGTCCGTCCGTCCATGTGTCCGCCCACCCGTGTGTCCGTCCGTCCATGTGTCCGCCCACCCGTGTATCCGTCAGTGCATCCTTTTATCCGTCCGTGTAACTACAACGTCTGTGGCGATGCCAGCGTCTCCGCCATCGGAGTCTCCTCCACCACGGCGGCTGTGAGCGCACGCAGGAAGCAACCGCCGCGCGGCATGGGGATTCCCTCCTGGCGACGTGCTGGCTTCATAACAACAACAATATTTATACAGTACTCGTGATGAAACTATCTGAACTACGAAGCCGTTATAGTAATAGGTTTTTACCCTTTCAACTGGTACAAAAACTGATACCTTTATACAAGGGATCATGTTTGAAATAACCACAACACAAGCAGTCAAGGAGATGTCTCATAGTGTAAATGCTTACCCCGAGCTCTCAATACTCTGATAGTGCGCTGTATTTGAGTTGTACGCCTTTTGGCGTCATCTGGTCCAACACCAATGGAGACTAGGCTCTAAGAAAAGCTGTCTCGGGTGTGGACCAATCAACTTCAAGGACAGTGCATATCATTATCATCATCAGAGTTGTTTATTTTTGTTTGCATTTTGACTGCTTGTGTTGTGGTTATTGCAAACATGATCCCTTGTATAAAGGTGTCAGTTTTTGTACCAGTTGGAAGGGTAAAAACCTATTACTATATTTTGCCACTGGTAAAGGAGATGTCTCATAGTACGAATCCGTTCATAGCCATGCGCCACGTCTCCACGAGACGATGCCTGGTGAATGTGCGAGCGGGTGAGTGAACGTGCGCGAGTGAGTGGGAGTTTGCATCTCCTGCAGTGTGAATGAGCGAGTGAGTGAATGTTTTCAGTCTTGAGACTCAGTGAATCGCCGTGCCAAGCGGAGTGGCGTTGTGGTGACGGCCGCTCCGATGAGAGATGCAGGGAGCCTGCGGTTCCCTGGCCGATGACGCTACGGTGCCTTGAGCCGCTTTGGTGGCTATTATCTAAACCGGTCCTGGGCCTCCCCTAGGTTGACTCAGCCTCAAACAAGTACCTGGTGCGGTGTGTACAATCATTGCCACTGGGGGGACAAAGGCGGTCGTGCGTGGTGTTGGCCACCCGTGCCGGACTTCACAGGTGCTCACGAACAGCACTTGCCCCAACAGTCTGTTACGGCTTTACGAGGCGGTCTTTGTCTTTGTTAAATCCTTTATATTAAGTTCGCTTGCTTGCTTGCTTGCGCGCTTACGACCGTGCAAATCTTTCGGTCGTTTTTTAACCCACTTCCCGTGATCCAATCGAGCTGATATTTTGCACACAGACTCGTTGTGCGTGACAATTTATTTTCGTGAAACAATTATTCCAAAATTTTCAACATTTTAGGAAAAAAAAAATTATATTTAATTACCAATTGCTTAATGGTGGCAGGCAATCATCTGACCCATAGGTGGCAGCCATCTCAAGCCAGAGGACGAGAGGACTCTAGCCGCCCGAAAACCGATGCCACGCATATAAAGGATTTCTAGTGAAAAACTTTGTTTTTACGGGTTAATTTTTGTGTCAATGCTCACGAACATAACTTGCCCCAACAGTCTGTTACGGCTTTACGAGGGCGGTCTTTGTCTTTGTGTGTCAGTGCTCATGAACAGCACTTGCCCCAACAGTCTGTTACGGCTTTACGAGGGCGGTCTTTGTCTCTGTGTGTCAGTGCTCACGAACATAACTTGCCCCAATAGTCTGTTACGGTCTTCTTGGTTTTTTCGGTAAAGTCACGTAGAAGGAAAATAATAAAGTAATAAAAATAAAACATAATAAAATAATGCTCACGACGTTTCGGCCACAACGCAAGCAGCCGTCTTCAGGTGGAGAACAGGTCTGTCGAGAAGGCAGACTCTGCCTTATTATGTTTTATTTTTACTATTTTATTATTTCCCTTCTACGTGACTTTACCGAAAGAACCAAGAAGATGAATCCCTGCAGTCACGAAAGCTTTAAATCGAAAGTCTGTTACGGCTTTACGAGGGCGGTCTTTGTATGTGTGTGTGTACCGCGTGGGTGGTGCAGGCGCGCGAGCTGAGCGCCGCCGCCGAGCTAGCGCTGGAGGAGATGGCGCGTCAGCAGCGCGAGCTGGAGGAGCGCCTCGATCAGATGCTGACGCGCATCGCAAAGGAGACGGAGGACATCCGGGACCTGGAGCAGCAGCTCACGGAGGGTGCGCGGCGGGGGGCGGTGGTGGTGGTGGTGGTGGTGGTGATGGTGGGGGTGGTGGTGGTGGTGGTGATGGTGGTAGTGGTGATGGTGGTGGTGATGGTGGTGGTGATGGTGGTAGTGGGGGTGGTGATGGTGGTGATGGTGATGGTGGTGATGGTGGTGATGGTGATGGTGGTGATGGTGATGGTGGTGGTGATGGTGGTGATGGTGATGGTGGTGATGGGGGTGGTGATGGGGGTGGTGATGGTGGTGGCGATGATGGTAGTGATGGTAGTGGGGGTGGTGATGGTGGTGATGGTGGTGGTGATGATGGTAGTGATGGTGGTAGTGGGGGTGGTGATGGGGGTGGTGATGGTGGTGGTGATGATGGTAGTGATGGTGGTGATGGTGGTAGTGGGGGTGGTGATGGGGGTGGTGATGGTGGTGGTGGTGGTAGTGATGGTGGTAGTGATGGTGGTGATGGTGGTAGTGGTGGTGGTGATGGTGGTGGTGATGGTGGTAGTGGTGGTGGTGATGGGGGTAGTGGTGGTGGTGATGGTGGTAGTGATGGTGGGGGTGGTGATGGTGGTAGTGGTGGTGGTGATGGGGGTAGTGGTGATGGTGGTGATGGTGGTAGTGGGGGTGGTGATGGTGGTGGTAGTGGTGGTGGTGATGGTAGTAGTGGGGGTGATGGTGGTAGTGGGGGTGGTGATGGTGGTAGTGGTGGTGGTGATGGTGGTGGTGGTGATGGTGGTGGTGGTGATGGTGGTAGTGGGGGTGGTGATGGTGGTAGTGGGGGTGGTGATGGTGGTGATGGTGGCAATGATCGTGATAGTGATGCTCATGGTGGTGGTGGTGATGGTGGTAGTGGTGGTAGTGGTGGTGGTGATGGTGGTAGTGGGGGTGGTGATGGTGGTAGTGGGGTAGGTGAGGGCAGCAATGATGGTGGAGATGGTAGTGATGGTGGCAATGATCGTGATAGTGATGCTCATGGTGGTGGTGGTGATGGCAATGATCGTGATAGTGCTGCTCATGGTGGTGGTGGTGATCATCGTGATAACTATAGTGGCAGTGGTGGTGATGATGTCAGTGGTGGTGGCCGTGGTGGTGATGATGACAATGATCGTGATGGGGATGCTAGTGGTGGTGGTGATGATGGTGTTGGTGGTGATGATGTCAGTGGTGGTGGCCATGGTGGTGATGATGACAATGATCGTGATGGGGATGCTAGTGGTGGTGGTGATGATGGTGTTGGTGGTGATGATGTCAGTGGTGGTGGCCATGGTGGTGATGATGACAATGATCATGATGGGGATGCTAGTGGTGATGATGGTGATGATGGTGATGATGGAGGTCGTGGTGATTATAACGATGATGTTGGTGCCATTGGTAGTGTCAGGTGGTGGGGTGATGTTGGTGGGGGGAGAATGATATTGGTGGTGGTGGGTCTGTCCAGTGAGCCTTCGACACTTCACGTGGCCTTAAGGAGCACAAAGCCTGGAATAAGCTCAGTGGTGACGTCACCGCCACTTAGTGGCGAATGGCGGTTATTGTTGATGGCGGCATTGATAGTGGTGGTAATGTCAGTGGTGGTGGTGGTGATGATGACAATGATTGTGGTGGTAATGTCAGTGGTGGTGGTGGTGGTGGTGATGACAATGATCGTGGTGGTAATGTCAGTGGTGGTGGTGGTGATGATGATGATAGTGGTGGTAATGTCAGTGGTGGTGGTGGTGGTGATGATGATGATAGTGGTGGTAATGTCAGTGGTGGTGGTGGTGGTGATGATGATGATAGTGGTGGTAATGTCAGTGGTGGTGGTGGTGGTGGTGATGATGACAATGATAGTGGTGGTAATGTCAGTGGTGGTGGTGGTGGTGGTGATGACAATGATTGTGGTGGTAATGTCAGTGGTGGTGGTGGTGGTGATGACAATGATTGTGGTGGTAATGTCAGTGGTGGTGGTGGTGGTGATGATGACAATGATCGTGATGGGGATGCTAGTGGTGGTGGTGATGGTGGTGGTGGTAATGTCAGTGGTGGTGGTGGTGGTCATGATGACAATGATTGTGGTGGTAATGTCAGTGGTGGTGGTGGTGATGATGACAATGATAGTGGTGGTAATGTCAGTGGTGGTGGTGGTGGTGATGATGACAATGATTGTGGTGGTAATGTCAGTGGTGGTGGTGATGATGACAATGATTGTGGTGGTAGTGTCAGTGGTGGTGGTGGTGATGACGCCGATGACGACGATGACGATCACGACGTTGTGAGTGATGCACCCCCCACCCCCCACCTTCCGTGCCTCCCCCCCTACCAGGCCAGATTGCCGCGAACGACGCGCTAAAGCGTGACCTGGAGGGCATCATTGCGGGGCTGCAGCAGTACCTGTCGGGCGTGCAGGACCGGGCGCGCCAGGCCGGCGAGGCATGCGGGCGCCTGCAGCAGGAGAACGAGGAGCTGCAGCGCCGCCTCGCTCAGCTGCAGCAGGACAAGCAGGAGCTGGAGGTGGTGGCCGAAGATGCGGACGTCATGCGTAAGGTGCGCGTCGCAACCGCAGCTGTGCCGCACCACCGCACTGCCGCACCACTGCACCACTACACCGCACCACCGCACTGATCCATCACACCGCACCACCACACCGCACCACCGCACCGATCCATCACACTGCACCACTACACCGCACCACCGCACTGATCCATCACACCGCACCACCACACCGCACCACCGCACACCGATCCATCACACTGCACCACCGCACCGCACCACCGCACCGATGCATCACACTGCACCACTACACCGCACCACCGCACCGATCCATCACACTGCACCACCGCACCGCACCACCGCACCGATCCATCACACTGCACCACTACACCGCACCACCGCACCAATCCATCACACTACACCCCACCACCGCACCACCGCACCGATCCATCACACTGCACCACTACACCGCACCACCGCACCGATCCATCACACTGCACCACTACACCGCACCACCGCACCGATCCATCACACTACACCGCACCACCGCACCACCGCACCGATCCATCACACTGCACCACTACACCGCACCACCGCACCGATCCATCACACTGCACCACTACACCGCACCACCGCACCGATCCATCACACTGCACCACTACACCGCACCACCGCACCGATCCATCATACTACACCGCACCACCGCACCACCGCACCGATCCATCACACTGCACCACTACACCGCACCACCGCACCGATCCATCACACTGCACCACTACACCGCACCACCGCACCGATCCATCACACTACACCGCACCACCGCACCACCGCACCGATCCATCACACTGCACCACTACACCGCACCACCGCACCGATCCATCACACTGCACCACTACACCGCACCGATCCATCACACTGCACCACTACATCGCACCACCGCACCGATCTATCACACTGCACCACTACACCGCACCACCGCACCGATCCATCACACTGCACCACTACACCGCACCGATCCATCACACTGCACCACTACATCGCACCACCGCACCGATCCATCACACTACACCACACCACCGCACCACCGCACCGATCCATCACACTGCACCACTACACCGCACCGATCCATCACACTGCACCACTACATCGCACCACCGCACCGATCCATCACACTGCACCACTACACCGCACCACCGCACCGATCCATCACACTGCACCACTACACCGCACCGATCCATCACACTGCACCACTACATCGCACCACCGCACCGATCCATCACACTACACCACACCACCGCACCACCGCACCGATCCATCACACTGCACCACTACACCGCACCGATCCATCACACTGCACCACTACATCGCACCACCGCACCGATCCATCACACTGCACCACACCACCGCACCACCGCACCGATCCATCACACTGCACCACTACACCGCACCGATCCATCACACTGCACCACTACACCGCACCACCGCACCACCGCACCGATCCATCACACTGCACCACTACACCGCACCGATCCATCACACCGCACCACTACACCGCACCGATCCATCACACTGCACCACTACACTGCACCACCGCACCGATCCATCACACTGCACCACTACACCGCACCACCGCACCGATCCATCACACCTGAGAACATGCAAACTCTTAATATGCAGGCTTCAGGGTCGGGATCGAACCCACGACTTCTGCACACACCAGGAAAGGTAGTTAACATCTCACCACCGTGGCAGACCCCTACATTGGCAAGTTTCGATTTAAAGCTTTCGTGACTGCAGGGATTCATCTTCTTGGTTATTTCGGTAAAGTCACGTGACTTTACCGAAAGAACCAAGAAGATTGGCAAGTTTCATCTTCTTGGGTCTTTCGGTAAAGTCACGTAGAAGGAAAATAATAAAATAATAAAAATAAAACATTATAAAATAATTCTCACGACGTTTCGGCCACAGCGCAAGCAGCCGTCTTCAGGTGGAGAACAGGTCTGTCTACTTGGCCGAAACGTCGTGAGAATTATTTTATTGTTTTATTTTTATTATTTTATTATTTTCCTTCTACGTGACTTTACCGAAAGAAACAAGAAGATGAATCCCTGCAGTCACGAAAGCTTTAAATCGAAATTGGCAAGTTTGTCAAACTCTTATTTAACGAGCGCTCACACGACGCGGGAGAAAACGGCGCAGCTCTCGGGGAAAGAAAAAAATTAACCCGTAAAAACAAAGTTTTTCACTATAAATCCTTTATATGCGTGGCATCGGGGCGGCTAGAGTCCTCTCATCCTCTGGCTTGAGATGGCTGCCACCTATGGGTCAGATGATTGTCTGGCAGCATTAAACAAATGGTAATTAAATATTTACATTTTTTTCCTAAACAGTGTAAAATTTTGGAAAAAAATTTTCACGAACATGAATTGTCTCGCACAACGAGTCTGTGTGCAAAATGTCAGCCCGAGTGGATCACGGGAAGTGGGTTAAAAAACGACCGAAAGATTTGCACGGTCCTAAGCAAGCAAGCAAGCGAACTTAATTTAAAGGATTTAAAAACGTGCTTGCAAAGTGGGACGACGATGACGACGACGACACCGACGCTCCCCTTGCAGACGGGAGTCTTAACCCACTTGCTCTACTGCCCCGGACGTGCGCTAAAAGGAGGTGTTGGAGCTGGAGCGGTTGCTGCAGGAGCAGCAGGAGGCCAACGCGTCCCTGCAGGGGGAGCAAGGCGAGCGAGACGCCCAGCTGCAGGCCCAGCTCGACGAGATGGAGATCGAGCATCAGCAGCTGCAGGACCAGCTGCGTGCCCAGCACCAGCGCAGCAAGGTGAACTAAACTCATCTTCTTGGTTCTTCTTCTTGGTGCTTTCGGTAAAGTCACGTAAAAGGAAAGTAATGAAATAAATAAATATGATTTCTTTTTTTTCTCTTCTACGTGACTTTACCGAAAGAACCAAGAAGATGAATCCCTGCAGTCACGAAAGCTTTAAATCGAAATTTATCTTCTTGGTTAACTTTCGGTAAAGTCACGTATAAGGGAAATAATAAAGTAATAAAAATAAAACATAATAAAATAATTCTCACTGAGAATTGTATTTTATAATGTTTAATTTATATTATATTATTACTTCCCTTCTACGTGACTTTACCGAAAGAACCAAGAAGATGAATCCCTGCAGTCACGAAAGCTTTCCATAGAAATGTATCTTCTTGGTTCTTGCGGTAAAGTCACGTAGAAGGGAAATAATACAATTAAAAAAATTAAACATAGTACAATAATTCTCACGACGTTTCGGCCACAACGCAAGCAGCCGTCCTCAGGTGAAGAACAGGTCTGTCGGGAAGACAGCGTCTGAATGAAACACCCCAGGCTTGGAGCGTCTATTTAAGCTGCTGGGTTGGAGGGGGAAGAGCTGCTTGCGTTGTGGCCGAAACGTCGTGAGAATTATTTTATGATGTTTTATTTCTATTATTTTATTATTTCCCTTCTACGTCATGACTTTACCGAAAGAACCAAGAAGATGAATCCCTGCAGTCACGAAAGCTTTAAAACGAAATTTAAACTAAACTATTAAACTGTTTTGTATTTTACCACGTAATACCCCCGTCTGAACTATGTAGCTGTTTTTCAGAGGCGAGCTGACTATCACATCATCGTGTGGAAATGTATTGCGGCCAAATGTTCTGAACGCGTGATGTGGATTCTAAATGCCGAAGGAAAAACCGGAGGACCTGGAGAAAAATCCACGCGACCACGGGAACGGAGACACGCAAACTCCAAATATACAGCAGCAGGCGTCAGGGTCGGGATTTAACCCACGATCTCCTGTACACCAGGCGAGGTAGTCAACATCTCCTAGCCACCGTGATGATGATGAGAGAGAGACACGCAAACTCCAAATATACAGCAGCAGGCGTCAGGTTCTGGATCGAACCCACGACCTGCTGTACACCAGGCGAGATAGTTAACATCTCCTAGCCACCGTGATGATGATGAGAGAGAGTCACGCAAACTCCAAATATACAGCAGCAGGCGTCAGGGTTAGGATTTAACCCACGACCTCCTGTACACCAGGCGAGGTAGTTAACATCTCCTAGCCACCGTGATGATGATGATGAGAGAGAGACACGCAAACTCCAAATATACAGCAGCAGGCGTCAGGGTCGGGATTTAACCCACGACCTCCTGTACACCAGGCGAGGTAGTTAACATCTCCTAGCCACCGTGATGATGATGATGATGAGAGAGAGTCACGCAAACTCCAAATACACAGCAGCAGGCGTCAGGGTTGGGATTTAACCCACGACCTCCTGTATACCAGGCGAGGTAGTTAACATCTCCTAGCCACCGTGATGATGATGATGAGAGAGAGTCACGCAAACTCCAAATATACAGCAGCAGGCGTCAGGGTTGGGATTAACCCACGACCTCCTGTACACCAGGCGAGGTAGTTAACATCTCCGAGCCACGGTGATGATGATGAGAGAGAGACACGCAAACTCCAAATATACAGCAGCAGGCGTCAGGGTCGGGATTTAACCCACGACCTCCTGTATACCAGGCGAGGTAGTCAACATCTCACCACCGTGGCGCCCTCCTCCCTTCCCCTGCCCCCCTCCCTCCCACCCCCATCACCATCTGTCCTTCACACAAGACAGATGGTGCCAATGATCAGCAGTACAATCAGCTGTGAGCGCACAAAGTCTGCCGTTGTCTGGGGGAGGGGCCACCGAGCCCCTTCTTGGGTTGGCCCGGCCCGTTCGGGTGGCTCCAGGAAGTCTGTCCTGGTGCCCCCCCCCGCCCCCCCCCCCGCCCCACTCTAACCCCATCCATGCCGTAGTCGTTTTTGAAAGTCGGGCTATTTTGCCTAATTTTCATCAACTCGTTTCAACTCGTTGCACGGTGGCTAGGAGATGTTAACTACCTCGCCTGGTGTACAGGAGGTCGTGGGTTCTGATCCCGACCCTGATGCCTGTTGTATGTTTGGAGTTTGCGTGTTCTCTCCGGGGTCGCGTGGATTTTTCTCCGGCTCCTCCGGTTTTTCCCTCTGCATTTAGAATCAACATCACGCGTTTCGTGTTTTTGGCTACTGCAAAACATTTCCACATGAGCAGTGGGCGGAGCTAGCTGAGCAGTAGGAGGAGCTACTAAAGCAGTGAGCGCCAGTTACCTGAGCAGCGGGCAGAGGTAGCAGCGAGGAGCAGGCGGAAGTGGGAGGGGGGCCAATCACCGTGGATGGAGCTGGTGGCTCCATCCAGCTGAACAGGCGTCCTGGTGGAGTACCACCACCACCACCACTACCACCACCACCACTACCACCACCACTACCACCACCACTACCACCACCACTACCACCACCACTACCACCACCACTACCACCACCACCACCTCTACTACCACTACTACCACCACCACTACCACCACCACCACTACCACCACCACTACCACCACCACTACCACCACCACTACCACCACCACTACCACCACCACCACCTCTACTACCACTACTACCACTACCACCACCACCACTACCAGACGCACGGAACCACTCTCACCGCGCCCCGTCGTCTCGTGCGCCCGCAGGGGGAGCAGGCGGCGCTGCTGGCGGAGCTCCAGCGGGAGAAGGAGGCGCTGGAGGCCGCCATCGAGCAGGCGGGTCAGGCGCGGGCCCACGAGCAGGAGAACCAGCGGCTGCTGCAGCAGCTGCGTGCGCTGCAGGTGGCGCTCGCTCACTCGCCACGTCGCTCGCTTCCTTGCTCACCTCACTCACCTCCTCACTCGCTTCCTCACCCGCCTCGTCGCTCACCTCCTTGCTCAGCTATTCGCTCACCTCCGAACTCGTCTCCTCGCTCGCCCCCTCGCTCACCTCCTCACTCACTTCTTCACTCGCTTCCTCACCCACCTCGTCGCTCACCTCCTCACTCGCCCCCTCGCTCACCTCCGCACCCGTCTCCTCGTTCGTTTCCTCGCTCACCTCTTCACTCGCTTCCTCACCCGCCTCGTCGCTCACCTCCTTGCTCACCTCCTCACTCGCTTCCTCACCCATCTCGTCGCTCACCTCCTCACTCGCTTCCTCACCCATCTCGTCGCTCGCTTCTTCACCCACTTCGTCGCTCACCTTCTTGCTCAGCTCCTCGCTCACCTCCTCACTCGCTTCCTCGCTCACCTATTCGCTCACCTCCGCACTCGTCTCCTCGCTCAGCTCCTCGCTCACCTCCGCACTCGTCTCGTCGCTCACCTCCTCACTCACCTCCTCACTCACCTCCGCACTCATCTCCTCGCTCACCTCCTTGCTCACCTCCTCGCTCAGCTCCTCACCCATCTCCTCGCTCGCCTCCTCACTCGCCTCCGAACTCGTCTCCTCGCTCACCTCCTTGCTCACCTATTCGCTCACCTCCTCGCTCGCCTCCTCACCCATCTCCTCGCTCACGTCCTCACTCGCTTCTTCACCCACCTCGTCACTCACCTCGTCACTCACCTCCTCACTCCCCCCCCCCCTCCCCCAGGCGAGCTCAGCGATGCTGAGCAGGCGCCTCCAGGACGCGGAGGCGCAGGCGGAGAGGACGGCGCGGGAGACGGTGCGGCGCGACGAGGTGGCGGCGCACCTCACGCAGCTCCGCGAGGAGGTGGAGGGGCCCCGCGGTCCCCTCGACGAGGAGGAGGAGGGGCACGAGGAGGAGCGGGGCGAGGAGGAGGAGGAGGAGAGGCGGAGGAACGGGCAGCACGAGGAGGAAGACGATGAGGAGGAGGAGGAGGGGGGGACGAGGTGAGATGAAGGGTTAGTGTTGTGGTGGTGAGGGTAGGGTTAGTGTTGTGGTGGTGAGGGTGAGTGTGGTGGTGGTGAGGGTAGGGTTAGTGTTGTGGTGGTGAGGGTGAGTGTGGTGGTGGTGAGGGTGAGTTGGTGGTGGTGAGGGTGAGTGTGGTGTGGTGAGGGTGAGTGTGGTGGTGGTGAGGGTGGGGTGAGTGTGGTGGTGGTGAGGGTGGGGTGAGTGTGGTGGTGGTGGGGGGGTGAGTGTGGTGGTGGTGAGGGTGGGGTGAGTGTGGTGGTGGTGAGGGTGGGGTGAGTGTTGTGGTGGTGAGGGTGGGGGAGTGTGGTGGTGGTGAGGGTGGGGTGAGTGTGGGTGGGAGGGTGGGGTGAGTGTGGTGGTGGTGAGGGTGGGGTGAGTGTGGTGGTGAGGTGGGGTGAAGTGTGGTGGTGGTGAGGGTGGGGTGAGTGTGGTGGTGGAGGGTGGGGTGAGTGTTGTGGTGGGAGGGTGGGGTGAGTGTGGTGGGGTGAGGGTGGGGTGAGTGTGTGGTGGTGAGGGTGGGGTGAGTGTGGTGGTGGTGAGGGGGGGTGAGTGTGGTGGTGGTGAGGGTGGGGTTAGTGTGTGGTGGTGAGGGTGGGGTGAGTGTGGTGGTGGTGAGGGTGGGGTGAGTGTTGTGGTGGTGAGGGTGGGGTGAGTGTGGTGGTGGTGAGGGTGGGGTGATGTTGTGGTGGTGAGGGTGGGGTGAGTGTGGTGGGGTGAGGGTGAGTGTGGTGGTGGTGGGGTGGGGTGAGTGTGTGGTGGTGAGGGTGGGGTTATGTGGTGGTGGTGAGGGGGGGTGAGTGTGTGTGGTGAGGGTGGGTTAGTGTGTTGGTGGTGAGGGTGGGGTGAGTGTTGTGGTGGTGAGGGTGGGGTGAGTGTGTGGTGGTGAGGGTGAGTGTGGTGGTGGTGAGGGTGGGGTGAGTTGTGGTGGTGAGGGTGGGGTTAGTGTGGTGGTGGTGAGGTGGGGTGAGGTGTGGGGGTAGGTGGGGTTAGTGTGGTGGTGGTGAGGGTGGGGGAGTGTTGTGGTGGTGAGGGTGGGGTGAGTGTGGTGGTGGTGAGTGGTGGGGTGAGTGTGGTGGGTGGTGAGGGTGGGGTGAGTGTGGTGGTGGTGAGGGTGGGGTGAGGGTTGGTGGTGAGGGTGGGGTGAGTGTGGTGGTGGTGGGTGAGGGTGGGTGAGTGTGGTGGGGGTGAGGGTGGGGTGAGTGTTGTGGTGGTGAGGGTGGGGTTAGTGTGGTGGTGGTGAGGGTGGGGTGAGTGTGTGGTGTGAGGGTGGGGTGAGTGTGGTGGTGGTGAGGGTGGGGTGAGTGTGGTTGGTGGTGAGGGTGGGGTGAGTGTTGTGGTGGTGAGGGTGGGGTGAGTGTGTGTGGTGGTGAGGGTGGGGTGAGTGTGGTGGTGGTGAGGGTTGGGTAGTGTGTGGTGGTGAGGGTGGGGTGAGTGTGGTGGTGGTGATGGTGGGGTGAGTGTTGTGGTGGTGAGGGTGGGGTGAGTGTGGTGGTGGTGAGGGGTGAGTGTTGTGGTGGTGAGGGTGGGGTGAGTGTGGTGTGGTGAGGGTGAGTGTGGTGGTGGTGAGGGTGGGGTGAGTGTGGTGGGGTGTGAGGGTGGGGTGAGTGTTTTGGTGGTGAGGGGTGGGGGTGAGTGTTGTGGTGGTGAGGGTGGGTGAGTGTGGTGGTGGTGAGGGTGGGGTGAGTGTGGTGGTGGTGAGGGTGAGTGTGGTGGTGTGAGGGTGGGGTGGTGGGTGGTGGTGAGGGTGAGTGTGGTGGTGGTGAGGGTGGGGGTGAGTGTTGTGGTGGTGAGGGTGGGGTGAGTGTTGTGGTGGTGAGGGTTGGGGTGAGTGTGGTGGTGGTGAGGGTGGGTGAGTGTGGTGGTGGTGAGGGTGAGTGTGGTTGGTGGTGAGGGTGGGGTGAGTGGTGGTGGGGTGAGGGTGAGTGTGGTGGTGGTGAGGGTGGGGTGAGTGTTGTGGTGGTGAGGGTGGGGTGAGTGTGGTGGCTGGTGAGGGTGGGGTGAGTGTGGTGGTGGTGAGGGTGAGTGTGGTGGTGGGTGAGGTGGGGTGAGTGTGTGGTGGTGAGGGTGGGGTTAGTGTGGTGGTGGTTGAGGGTGGGGTGAGTGGTGGTGGTGAGGGTGGGGTGAGGTGGTGTGTGGTGGAGGGGTGGGGTGAGGTGTGGTGGTGAGGGTGGGTTAGTGTGGTGGTGGTGAGGTGGGGTGAGTGTTGTGGTGGTGAGGGTGGGGTGAGTGTTGTGGTGGTGAGGGTGGGGGTGAGTGTTGTGGTGGTGAGGGTGGGGTTAGTGTGGTGGTTGTGGGGTGGGGTGAGTGTGGTGGTGGTGAGGGTGGGGTGAGTGTTGTGGTGGTGAGGGTGGGGTTAGTGTGGTGGTGGTGAGGGTGGGGTGAGTGTTGTGGTGAGGGTGGGGTGAGTGTGTGGTGGTGAGGGTGGGGTGAGTGTGGTGGTGGTGAGGGTGGGGTGAGTGGGTGGTGGTGAGGGTGGGGTGAGTGTGTGGTGGTGAGGGTGGGGTGAGTGTGTGGTGGTGAGGGTGGGTGAGTGTGTGGTGGTGAGGGTGGGGTGAGTGTTGGTGGTGGTGAGGGGGGGTTAGTGTGGTGGTGGTGAGGGTGGGGTGAGTGTTGTGGTGGTGAGGGTGGGGTGAGTGTGTGGTGGTGAGGGTGGGGTGAGTGTTGTGGTGTGTGAGGGTGGGGTGAGTGTGGTGTGGTGAGGGTGGGGTGAGTGTGTGGTGGTGGGTGGGGTTAGTGTGGTGGTGGTGAGGGTGGGGTGAGTGTTGTGGTGGTGAGGGTGGGGTGAGTGTGTGGTGGTGAGGGTGGGGTGAGTGTGGTGGTGGTGAGGGTGGGGAGAGTGTTGTGGTGGTGAGGGTGGGGTGAGTGTGGTGGTGGTGAGGGTGGGGTGAGTGTGGTGGTGGTGAGGGTGGTTGAGTGTTGTGGTGGTGAGGGTGGGGTGAGTGTGGTGGTGGTGAGGGGGGGTGAGTGTGGTGGTGGTGAGGGTGAGTGTGGTGGTGGTGAGGGTGGGGTGAGTGGTGGTGGTGAGGGTGGGGTGAGTGTGGTGGTGGTGAGGGTGAGTGTGGTGGTGGTGAGGGTGGTGAGTGGGGTGGTGGTGAGGGTGGTGAGTGGGGTGGTGGTGAGGGTGAGTGGGGTGGTGGTGAGGGTGGGGTGAGTGTGGTGGTGGTGAGGGTGGGGTGAGTGTGGTGGTGGTGAGGGTGGGGTGAGTGTTGTGGTGGTGAGGGTGGGGTGAGTGTGGTGGTGGTGAGGGTGAGTGTGGTGGTGGGAGGGTGGGGTGAGTGTGGTGGTGGTGAGGGTGGGGTGAGTGTGGTGGTGGTGAGGGGAGTGTGGTGGTGGTGAGGGTGGGGTGAGTGTGGTGGTGGTGAGGGTGGGGTGAGTGTGGTGGTGGTGAGGGTGGGGTGGGGTGAGTTGGTGGTGGTGAGGGTGGGGTGAGTGTGGTGGTGGTGAGGGTGGGTGAGTGTGGTGGTGGTGAGGGTGGGGTGAGTGTGGTGGTGGTCGAGGGTGGGGTGAGTGTGGTGGGTGGTGAGGGTGGGGTGATTGGTGGTGGGATGGTGGGGTGAGTGTGGTGGTGGTGAGGGGGGTGAGTGTGGTGGTGGTGAGGGTGGGGTGGAGTGTTGTGGTGGGAGGGTGGGGTGAGTGTTGGGGTGGTGAGGGTGGGGGTGAGTGTGGTGGTGGTGAGGGTTGGGGGGATTGGTGGTGGTGGTTGAGGGGTGGGGTTAGTGTGGTCGGTGGTGAGGGTGGGTGAAGTGTGGTGGTTGTGAGGGTGGGGTGAGGTGGTGGTGGTGAGGGTGGGGTGAGTCGTGGTGGTGGTGAGGTGTGGAGTGTGGTGGTATGAGGTGGGGTGGAGTGTGTGGTGGGGGTGGGGTGAGTGTGTGGTGGTGAGGGTGGGGTGAGTGTGTGGTGGTGAGGGTGGGGTGAGTGTGTGGTGGTGAGGGTGAGGGTGAGTGGGTGGTGGTGAGGGTGGGGTGGAGTGTGGTGGTGGTGAGGGTGGGGTAGTGTGGTGGTGGGAGGGTGGGGTGAGTGTGGTGGGGGTGAGGGTGGGTTAGTGTGGTGGTGGTGAGGTGGGGTGGGTGGTGGTGAGGGTGGGGTGAGTGTTGTGGTGGTGAGGGTGGGGTGAGTGTGGTGGTGGTGAGGGTGGGGTGAGTGTGGTGGGGTGAGGGTGGGTGTTGTGGTGGTGAGGGTGGGGGGTGAGTGGGTGGTGGTGAGGGGGGGTGAGTGTGGTGGTGGTGAGGGTGGGGTGAGTGTGGTGGTGGTGAGGGTGAGTGTGGTGATGGTGAGGGTGAGTGTGGTGGTGGTGAGGGTGGGGTGAGTGTGGTGGTGGTGAGGGTGAGTGTGGTGGTGGTGAGGGTGGGGTGAGTGTGGTGGTGGTGAGGGTGGGGTGAGTGTGGTGGTGGTGAGGGTGAGTGTGGTGGTGGTGAGGGTGGGGTGAGTGTGGTGGTGGTGAGGGTGGGGTGAGTGTGGTGGTGTGAGGGTGGGTGAGTGTGGTGGTGGTGAGGGTAGGGTGTGGTGGTGGTGAGGGTGGGGTGAGTGTGGTGGTGGTGAGGGTGGGTGAGTGTGGTGGTGGTGAGGGTGGGGTGAGTGTGGTGGTGGTGAGGGTGAGTGTGGTGTGGTGGTGAGGGTGGGGTGAGTGTGGTGGTGGTGAGGGTGGGGTGAGTGTGGTGGTGGTGAGGGTGGGTGAGTGTGGTGGTGGTGAGGGTGAGTGTGGTGGTGGTGAGGGTGGGGTGAGTGTGGTGGTGGTGAGGGTGGGGTGAGTGTGGTGGTGGTGAGGGTGGGGTGAGTGTGGTGGTGGGGGGGTGAGTGTGGTGGTGGGAGGGTGGGGGTGAGTGTGGTGGTGGTGAGGGTGGGGTGAGTGTGGTGGTGGTGGTGAGGGTGAGTGTGGTGGTGGTGAGGGTGGGGTGAGTGTGGTGGTGGTGAGGGTGGGGTGAGTGTTGTGGTGGTGAGGGTGGGGTGAGTGTGGTGATGGTGAGGGTGGGGTGAGTGTGGTG